GTACCACAAGGATCCCCCTCGCTTTTTTGTTAACTATTTTCCGGCAAACACGTGATAAAAGACTAAATGGAGGGAAATCGTAAAAGTGAATTTCAGCCCAATCTAAAGAGAAGGCATCAGCCACTATAGAGCTCGGAACTGGAATCTACAGAACATAGGCATAGCCTTTTGCATTAATAATGGACGCGAAAAGGTCAATTTTCGGTTGACCCTGTGCGAGCGAAAAAACGCAAGAATGCGTCTTGGGCTAAGGACCATTCGGTATCCGCACTAATTTTACGAGACTCAAAGTCAGCGATCGTATTATCGATGGAAGCGATATATGACACGAATATATAACTTATGTTCTTCGCATTATTCTACATGTACATGGTTTATTCTACATGTACATATCCACTTTTAAACCACACATATTTAAATAAATTTTGAATTCTGGGTGATGAAAATTGGTGGTGCGTTAATGATGGTTGCAATTTTAATATATTATCTCTAATATGGAGATCAGTGCCAAATCTAACAACAGAACAACGTCAGGAAAATGTTTAATAAAATTTTTCCATAATCTAAAGCAGTATACATCTAGTGGTTGTATTTTTTCCGTTGTACCAGCTGGAATGGTTAGGAAGACGATATGTGTTGCAGAATCTTGTCTAATATCTGCAATTATATTAGGGCAATATCCACTCCATGAATCTCCATGAATAGCAATACAGACTATGACCCAATATTCGGAAAAAATGTTTCTTTTAACATGTTTTTACATGATATGATGTTAGTTTGCCCGATAGTGAAGCCATAACAAAAAATATTAGGTGCTCTGAACATTTTTTCTTGGACTCTCGGACCAAATGTTCCTTTTATTTTGTTTTAATACTATAAAAAGCGACAATAATCTACCATCTGCGGAAATAGTCGGCTGAATAGTGTAACTATATGTGATTGTTGACATAAATTGTACAACAGATTCTACTCTTTTTACATCTTTATATGCTAAAGTACGACCGGAATGAAATTCTAACTCAAATTCACTTTGATCAGAATTGTAAATATTTTCTATTCCACATACCGACCAATATAATATTTAACATTTTCAATAAATGTATCGCATTTCTTTTCTAAATCTTCTTTTGATAGCAGCGATTTTTTGTTACAAATTTAGTTATTTTACGAGATATAACATCATGTACCACTTTAAATCGTTTTACCCATGTGTCTGAAGCTATAAATCCTGCTACATTTTCCTCTTCTTGTGAGGGAGTAGCCCATCGCACTATATCGACATCATGAATGACCTTTATCAAGTGCTTCATTGAATCGAGCCAATGTGTATTCCGAAATTCGTCTTAACTTTTCATACCTGTTACCACCTGCTTCGATTTGTTCTTCCCATAGTCGTAATTGTCGTTCCGATTTAACTTTTCTGAACATATGTTTAACTCCTTCAATCAATCTTCGTTTAGACTTTCCACTTTTCCAGTATTCTACTGTTTCTCTCTCATAGTTAATTGATATTTTGTCAGAAGTACATCTAATTTCATCCGATAAGTAAACCTTTTCTTCATGTGGCTCAAATAAATCAATTTCTTCTTTTTCTGGAATCTCGTATGTGTTGTAATTATCTAATGTTTCTTCCTCTTCTATTACAACCTCTTTTTCGTTTCTAACTTCTTTAAGCATATTTTCTATTGTTTTTGTTACTTTTCGTTCTTCCGAGGTTATTGGAGAAAGTGGAAGATTCATTGCGGTAAATGTTTCATACAGTAACATTATTACATTATATGCATTAAATTGCATCATTCTGAAAAATAGATGATTCTTAAATATTTATTTCGAAATACATAAAAATATAAGATACATATCAAGATATACGTAAAATAGATAAAAATAAAACTTACTTGCGTAGTAAGTATTATGGAATGGTCTTTTTAGTTCCGTTCAGTTGTATATATACCATCTGTATATATACAACTGTTCTTCTCTCTCTTTTAATAGTAAAGATATAGTTTTAATGTAGCTTTCATCCTTATAAAGTCCACCTCGTGCAAGAGCTAAGTGATAATGATTTTGATAGGCGCATTGAATTTTGTGAGTTGATGGAAAGAATAGATGAAGATCCTAACTATCTGTCAAATATAGTCTTTTCAGATGAAGCAACATTTCAGTTAAATGGCTATGTTAATCGACATAATTGTAGATTCTGGTCAAATACAAATCCTAACTGGATTCAAGAAGCACATACGCAGTATCCACAAAAATTGAATGTTTGGGCAAGCATTTTGAAAAATGTTCTCATAGATCCATTCTTTATTAAAGGTAATCTAATAGCGATAAAATATGAGAATATGCTAAGAAATGAAATAGTTCCAGCGATACAAGCAATCACGAGTAACAACTTCTGAAATATATGATTTCAGCAAGATGATGCTGCGCCACATTACAGGAGGGATGTCCGTAATTATCTGAATACAGTATTTCCTCAACGACGGATAGGCAGAAGAGGACCTGTAGAATAGCCTCCTCGATCGCCAGATTTGTCACCTGTTGATTACTTTCTGTTGGGCTATTTAAGAGACAGAGTTTATATAAATACGTATCCACAAAACGAATCCACAAAATCTGGATAATTTACGAAATCGAATTCTTGATGAAGCTGCTATTATTTCTATTGATTACATTCAAAATGCCGTTTGATCTTTTTACGATAGGGTAGCTTTTTGTCAAACTGTTGATGGTGGACATTTTGAACAATTGCTATAAACCTTTTCAGTCTTGCCTTAGTTGACTAGACAGTTTTGCCTTAGTTAGCTGGAAGTATTGCCTTAGTTGGCTGGACAGTCTTGTCTTAGTTAACTGAACAGTTTCGCCTTAGCTGACTGGAGAGTCCTGCCTTAGTTAGCTGGACAGTCTCGCTTTAGTTAGCTAGGCAATTGGCGATCTTGCCTTCGTGAGCTAGACATCTTACCATAAAAAGCTCGATAACTTCGAAATGACTTACTTAAAGTGGGTAAAGTGGGTAAGCTTTGAAAAAATCTGAAGATGTGCTATAATAACTTATCTTGTAACTCGCAAAACATTTAAAGAAAAAGAATTAAGTTATAGTGTTTTGGAAAGCTCTCGAGATAAGCTACAAGAATATGTAATAAAAAATAGAGAGTTTTATTTAAAAAATTTGAGATAACCTTGACAACGCTATTCAAGGTCATACTGATATTGCTATGTAATGCGTTATTTGAAATCCTACAACTTCTGTCTGAAACATTTTTTTCATAAAGATTATATTTTTCGATATATTTCAGGGTCCCAGTATTTATTCCTCTCTCTATATATGATACGTATAAAACATGATATTACCAAGTTCGACATAAGCGACTATCTTTTCAATAACACGTATATAAATAAGAAGGTTTTGAATTTGATGAGAGATGAGAACCATAATGGAGATGAGAACCATGAGTGGAGCCATAATGACGAAATTCGTCGGACTCAGAACGAAGATGTACAATATGCTAAAGGTAAACGGTAAAAAGAAGATGCTAAAAAGCAAAAAGCATTAAGAGCAACATTATAACGTGAACTATGCAAATTTGATGATTATGCACAATGCCCCGAGAAAGACAATGAAGAGAGATAGCGTCAATCGTGCAAAAAATCAATGTTACACAAAGTATATATAGTACCCGAAACGAAACTTGCTCTAAGTCCGTAAAATGACAAGCGGTATATCACTCCCAATTGTACTAATATACTACTATGGAGGACGTTATAATATACCGTTATAATACTTTATAATAAGTTAAGTTATCTCGCTAACTATTTGTCGGAAGAAAAAATGGTACTAGACTTATGTGCTCTATTTAATCTCAAGAATATATTGTTATAATAGCGCCCTGACTTTTGTTAACTTACTGATTTTTGAAAATTTCGAAATCATCAAATTAACGAAAATCAGGCCGCTATTGTAATAATATATTCTTGAGATCAAGTAGAGCAAAAAAGTCTGGTACTAATTTTTTTCCGATAAATAGTTAGAGAAATATCGTGAATTAAATTGAGAAAGTTATCAAGTTTTCCTTAAATATCTCAAAAAATATTAGACAAATAAAAAAATGTTCAGACAGAAGTTGTTTCAATTAATTGGTAGGAAAAGATGGTATAATAAAAAATTGGGGTTTCCATTTTTAGGAAAATAATCATCAATGAATATCTCGAAAATGGTGCCATTTGTAAACAAAATATTGTAATAGAGTTGTTTTATGTCCCCTTTGAAATCATACAACTTTTTTCCGAAATCTTTTTGCTGAAAATGATTCGTTGAAGAATTATCGAAGAGCGTTTTTTAAAATGGGATTGTATATATTTACAATAGAGTGTGTTCTTACTTTTGATAATTTGATAACTGAAATTTCTAAAGGTCGATAAGTTAACACGTTCGCGACGTTCGTTGAATCAATAAATCCATTGGTTCACTCTAAAGGACGCACGATTTTTTTTATTTTGCTATAATTGTCTGGTCGACAAACCATGTTGCTAGTACATAGATACATTTCTCATGTAGCCGTAGTCATGATATATAGAGATACACCGATATACACAGAGACTTTCAGAAGCAGTGTAATGCTTCATAGTGTGTGACCGGTGGGTCACGATGTCGCGAACGTGTTAATAAAAGTCAGGGCGCTATTGTGACAATATATTCTTGAAACCAAATAGAGTAAGAAAGTCCAGTACCACTTTTTCTTCTGACAAATAGTTAGCGAGATCGAAAGTTAAGTGTTAAAAAAGTTACAAAATTTTCCTTAAGTATCTCAAAAAATTTTATCCAAATAAAAAAATGTTTCAGTTAAAAATTTTAAGATGGCCTTTCCTTGATGATGTTGTGCAAGATCATATCAGTATTGCTATGTGATGTGTCATTTAAGCTTTACTACTTCCATATTTAACATTTTTTTTCTATCTTGCATATTTGCAAAGTTATTCAAGAAGTCTGATCTTTTCCCCTACCTTATATATATGACAATTTAACGTCTGTTTTACGATTATTGAAGGCAGAATGTCTTTTACCGACACAATGTACGGGCAAAGACTGATATACTGTGTAGTGCTATTATTACTAGGAGCAACACATTCCCATGTTTTGAATAAACAGAGTTGCTTAGAATCGGAACAATGGGCGTTCGAAAATATGCCCTTTTTATCTATTATTTTTGCAACGTCGGAATATTTGCCGGCTGGACCATGCAAGAAAGACACGGAGAGATTTTTACAAGATCTACTTAACGGCTCTACATGGGCTACACTAAGTAAGTTTATATAAATTATAATATGTTCAGCGAATTGAAACACGAAAAAAGCAGTGTTTAATGTTGGTCGTTCAAAATATACGTCGCGTCGATAGCCTTATAAAATAGCTTATTAAAAGCACTAATATTAAACATTAAAACTATGCTAAAACGTGAAAAAAGCCTAAGGATTTCACACTAATTATACAGGAAAAGTTGAATGGCTTAATGAGCACACTATTTTCTTATGAAGTTAATTCTTTTGTTGGTACAACAGTGTACTAGAAAAATGCAACTGCATTTTTATTTGAAATAGAATCTTCTTGATTTTTTCTGTATGATGTAAATTGACTCTTTAAAATATCTTACGTCGAAAAGTACTAGTGTAAGATGACCAAAAAGTTGAAAAAAGAAGTAATTAATGTAGTATTTCAAATTTATTAAAGTAAATGTGCAAACATTCCAACATCACATAACAAACATTTGGCAGCATTACGGATAAGACGATACATACAGTAGTTGCAGCATTTATAGCAATATATCGTTATCGCAAAGCACAAAAATGCTGAACATATTTACTTTTCCACTTTTAGAAAATTCCATAATGATGTACTCTTTATTGATTTATAATTCATTTCTTATTTCATACGAATCTTACTGTTAGATAGGCATAAACGGCATTGCTATTCTCAGCGCTATCAAGAGGCATACCGTGCCTATATTACGCGAAACTGCGAGTTGAAACGAGGTGAGATATTCATATCTCAGCAATGGCTGAACCGATCGAGGTTTTAAGTCCCAATCGATTCAGCCTTAAAAAATAGGAAGAAAAGTGTTCTTGTGTTTTTTATGTACGTTGTCCCTAAGTGAAGGCACTTTAAGATAAAGTCTGAATCACGGAAAATTTCGATTCAGTGAGAAAGAAACGTCGGACGCAGAGTAGTGGGGATATACGTGCACATTGCTTTCCCGACACCAGGGGCGCTACGAGAGCGCTGAAAAAGCAAACAGCAGCGAATGAGAGCGTGTAAACGAGAAATATGCTATTAGGTAAATCGGAAAGTTCCGTCCGTTTAGCGACAAGTAGCTATAGCTAGAACTATCGTTAACCTGTAATGTCTAAACGAAGCTTAATAGTTTGTTTTGACATCTGTCAATAACATTCAGTACATAAAAGTATACGTTTGCATGAATAACATTGCTTTTCACTGCATCGAAAATGTCGAAATTTGAGCCAAATAAGCGTCATTTGCGTGAAGTGTTAATCTTTTGCTTCATTTGGAAGAAAACTGCAGCTGAAGCTCATCGAATGCTTGTAGAAGTTTAAAGTGATAAGGCTCCTTCCGATAAAACATGCAGAGAATGGTTTCGACATTTCAAAATTGGTGATTTTGATGTATTGACGACAAAGACGACAAAGAGCGTTCTGGACGGCCAAGAGTATTCGAAGACGAAGAATTGCAGGCAGTGACAAAGAGAGGAGAGAGTGGGGGAGGGGGAGAGAGAGAGAGAGAAAGGAGAGTGAGAGAGAGAGAGAGAGAGAGAGAGAGAAGGAGGGAGGGAGGGAGAGTGAGAGAGAGAAAGAGAGTGAGAGAGAGGCAGGGAGAGAGAGAGAAAATAGTGGCAAAAAGGAGAGAGAGAGTGGCAGGGGGAGGGAGAGAGAGAGGAATGAGAGAGAGAGAGAGAGAGAGTGGAGTAAGAGAGAGGGGGGAGAGGAGTGACAGAGAGAGAGCGCGCGAGAGAGGAGTGACAGAGCGAGGAGTAACAGAGAGGGAGAGAGAAGTGAGAGAGAGAGAGGAGTGAAAGAGAGAAGAGTGAAAGAGAGAGGAGTGAGAGAGAGGAGAGAGAGAGAGAGAGAGAGAGAGAGAGAGAGAGAGAGAGACGAGTGAGAGAAAGGAGTAAGAGAGAGGAGGGAGAGAGAGGAGTGGGTGAAGAAGAGGGGAGGAAGGGAGGGGGAGAGGTGGTGGGAGGGAAGGAGAGAGAGAGAGGAGATGATGAGATGGTGAAGGGGGAGAGTGTGAGAGGGAATATCTAAAGATAATGTTATGTCGCCCGTCATTTGGTTGCCAGTCGGCTGATGCTGAGCAGACGATATGATGAGCCATACCATCGAAAAATCAATATGAAGATATCTTTTCAAAGGTTATTATTATTCAAGAGAAATCTAACAACAAGAAATGTACGTAATATATGTTTTTACATGTAAAATTTATAAAACTTACCTTTTTAAACAAAAAGGTAAAAAAAGGCGCCAAGTACAAGCGCAACAAGTATTGTGTTATTTTTAGAAATTTCAAATTCAAATTATCTTTTTTAAAGTACTTATATACATATATACTTTTTTAAAGTATATATGTGTACATAACAAGTTTTTACAAGTAAAATTTATATAAAACTTACCTTTTTAAAGAATAAGGTGAAAAAGGACGCCAAGTACAAGCGCAACACGTATTTTGTTATTCTCAGAAATTTTAAATTCAAATTATTTTCTTTAAGGTATACAGGGTGTTTGATAGCTGATCATGCAGATGAAAGTTGTAGATAGATTGGGTGTAGCCGAGAAGAAAAGTCATGTACCATAATGTCAAATTACCAATAGTTATCGAGTTATTAATTAAAACGTGTGAGCCAACGAGCGCGTAGAGAGCGGAGTGCGGCCGCAGTAAACACGTAGACATTGGATACAGGCGGAGTCAGCGAGTGATGATAGGCAAGCGCGCGTGCGGCGAAGGGCAACGTAAACGACAAGAGGCGAGCGCGCGCGACGAGGAGCGAGCGAGCGCGAACGACGAGGAGCAAGCGAGCGCAAGCGACAAGAGGCGAGCGAGCGCGACAAAGAGCGAGCGAGCGCGAACAACGAGGAGCGAGCGAGCTATAAGGAAAAAGCTATAAAGAAAAAGCTCGCTCGCTCCTCGTCGCGCGCGCTCGCCTCTTGTCGTTTACGTTGCCCCTCGCCGCGCGCGCTCGCATATCGTCACTCGCTGACTCCGCCTGTATCCAATGTCTACGTGCTTACTGCGGCCGCCCTCCGCTCTCTATGCGCTCGTTGGCTCACATGTTTTAATTAATAACTCGGTAACTATTGCCAATTTCACATTATGGTACATGACTTTTCTTCTCGGCTACACCCAATCTATCTCCAACTTTCGTCTGCATGATCAGCTATCAAACACCCTGTATATAGTCCGTTTTACGACTATTTAGGGCAGTCTTTTACCGACACAATGTACGGACAAAAACTGATATACTGTGTAGTGCTTTTATTACTGGAAACAACACATTCCCATGTTTTGGATAAACAGAATCACTCAGCACCGGAACAATGGGCGTTGGAAAATATCCCATTTTTACCCATTATTTTTGCAACGTCGGAATATTTGCCGACTGGACCGTGCGAGAAAGATACGGAAAGATTTTTACATGATCTACTTAATAGTTCTGCATGGGCTATACTAAGTAAGTTTATATAAATTATATATTTAGCAAATTGAAATATGGAACGAAAACATTGTTTGATATTGTTCGTTATTATACGTTATTACTGTAAACTATACATCGATGGCTTATCTTATAAAATAGCTTGTTAAATATCAAAATTATGCTAAAACATGAGAAAAGCCAATGGACCTCGCTAATTATACAGGATGTCTCATAGAATAGTAATAGTTAATATTTACTGAACTTTGAATAGTAGAAAGAATGGTGTTAGAAAAAATTGAATGACTTAATGAACATTATTTTCTTATAAAATTAATTCTTTGTTGATGCGATGATGAAGTATAAAACTGCAATTGCATTTTTATTTTAAATAAAACCCTCCTAATTTTTTTATACAACTTGAGTTCTCAAAATATGCTGCATAAAAAAGTAGTAGAGTGTAAGATGACTAAAAATGAGTAATTAATGAGATTTATTAACGTTAAATTTTTAAATTTTCCATCATCATTTCCACCAACAAATATTTGACATCAAATATCTAAATGGATCTTATTACGGAATGATATTACGGAAAATATTACTGTTTGTAAATATTGGATAGCATCGAGAGTGCCGTCTACTCCTAACAGCCCATCTACATAGATAGCAACACGCAAAACGCAAATTGGAAGATGCAGTTTTCTACAATCGATAACTTTTCGGAATAACTGACTGTCGTTGATCAATTTACTTACGTCTTAAAACTAACGGCTTATTGTAGAGGGCCTGTAAGACTCGTACAGAGTAATAAATGAATTTAATGAAGAGCATATCATTATGGAATTTTCAAACAGTGAAAAAGTAGATATCTTTAGCATCTTTGTGCTTTGCAATAAGAAAGCTATAAGTGCTACAATTATGTATCGTTATGTATAATCAACTTTACCTTATACCATTTTTTCCTATAGTCCAAAGTATGCAATAGATATTTATTGTTATAATTCTGTATATGATTTTGGAGCTCAGTGAAATTAGCCAATTTTTACATATATTGTAGCTTATGTCTGACTAAACTAATAATGTAATAAACTCAATTTTAAATAATAGATAATTTTTTAGTTACAATCAGTCAAGGAGGAAAAATCGGACTGGAGTATATCGAAAACTTTATAAAAAAATAGATCAATATATGTAAACAATTACGACTTCTCATAAGTCACACACATGCATATATACACAGACATGAAACCAGCTTCCTACTATATACCGTAGACGATCCGCGGCAAACTGTATGCGTCGAGGCTGAGGCGATGACGTTTTGACACTTTGTCACCGCCGGTGCGCGGCGAGGCGATGATGAACGCGTGCAAATCTAAGCGTGTTTCCTCTTTGCCAAAAGTGTGTGGCGCACACTCCTGGGTTGCAGGCATTAATTAAATGTTTATTAAACACGACGACAAATGCAAATTAAACGCAATTGCGCGTGTTAAAATTATTTTTTCACGTGGAAACGCTATCATTTCCACACCATCTTCGATGAGGTAGATAGCTTGGTGCGTTTGTTTCTACGTGGTTTCCCCAGTAGGCCTAATCTACGGTTACTAATTAGTGTAGTAACTGTTCGAAGTGCCTTCCTGCAGCTTGTAAGCAGAGGTCAGCTCTTCGTGTTATCTGTTGCGTCGGTGCACCATATCCAGCGTGATGGTAGCGAAGGCCGCAATAATTGCTGCACGTACCTCCTCTTCTGTACCATCGCGCCGTTGCTTGACTAAGGATTTGACGTATCCCCATACAAAATAATCGAGAACGTTCAAATCCGGCGACCGTGCCGGCCAAGTGATTGGGCCACCGCGACTCATCCACCTGTGCGAAAAACGCATATTTAATATTTCTCGCACTGTACGCGAAGAGTGTGCGGGAGCTCCATCGTGCTGAAATACCATAGTTTCGCGTGCACGGAGAGAAACGTTCTCGAGAAGAAGAGGTAGCTCGTTCTCAAGGAATTCTGTGTACCTCTGCCCATCGAGACGTGGCGGTAAAAAAAATGTGCCGATCTGAAAATAATTACCCCATTTAAATAATTATACGTGTAATAAAACATGTTCCGCATGTTACAAATTACAAGAATACGTACCACTCTGTCTGCAATTACTCCTGCCCACACGTTCACCGACCATCGGTATTGAAAGGCGCATTGGCGAACGGCATTTTCGGCCACAGCAATGTGTTGTGAGAATTAAACACGCCGTTCAGTGTGAAAGTCGCCTCACCCGTCCACAGGAAACGGTCGGGAAATGATTCATTTCGCCGACACTATGCGAGAAGACCTGCGCGTCTTTCACGTAGATATATTAACATTTTTTAATTTAGTCTCTCATAAAAATAATAAACATACCTGCACAAAAGTGCGCCCGCGGTACTTCATTACGTGGAAGTAATTGTTGCACGCGTCGATAACGGTAGGGCCGCAAATTATTTCGACGCAAAATGCGATGCACCAAAGATTTCGATAAATGTAGGCGTCTCGATAATTCACGCACGCTACATACGGGATCGTTCTTGATCTCGTGCAATACTTCCTCCTCGTTGCGGATCGAATGCAGGACGGGTGCACCAGCGCGGAGTTTATGGACCGGCAGGAGACTCCCCGTTTCTTTTGCTCGTCGTACGTAAAATCTAATAGTATTTCGCGAAGGATGCCGCGCGGGATTAGAATATCGCTGCGCGTAAAGATGCGCCGCGACATGATCGTTACAATACGCCCTCGCATAGCACATCAACATGTCAAAATATTTTTCCGCCGTGAAATCCATTGTTTTAAGGCTGTGATGCGCGGAACACTTCACAAAAACTACTGCCGTTCCTTGTAGGCGATAGAGAAAAACAGTTGAACATCTAAGAAACGATGTTCAACTGTTTTCCTCTTTCGCTAACCAGTGTTTTAAAACAATGGATTTCAGAATATCTTCAGCATTAACTTACAGCATTCTGCATTCGGAATTACAGCTTACAGCATTCTTTTCAGCATTAACTTACAAACTGGTACTTTATTATCAAAAGATTTCTATTTTTCGGTTCTCAATGTTCTTAAATGATTTTCAAATGTAAACATGTTTGGTTTTTACTTTGAAAATATTTGTATCATGTAAGAGATATACATATAAACATAGACGATCATCGTAACGTTATTTTGATTTCGATGTTTTATATATAATCTTCGTTTAATTTATGTTGCGTTCAATTTGTAACGTCCAGGTCTGTTCGAACATCATATCATATAATTATACCGGTTCAAAGTCTTACAAAATAATTGTTAGCCCATGAAGACCACGGATATGTCCGTGATACTTCTTGATGCAATTCATAGTATCAAGGTTACACAGTAATACACATGCACGATAGGATCTTACTGGCTATTTCTCCATTTTTTTTTAACAACGGTCATTTCATGAGAAAGGAGGTGCAACATACTACTGAAAGAAACAAGTATAAATGAAAAAATGATTGTAGATACATTTTATTCTCCCTTTTTATTCTTTTTTTATGTCTACGCTCTTTCACGCACGTAGACGTGCGTGCGGTTATAAGTTTGCGCATATTTTAATCTTTTCTAGCATTTTTTAGTAGTAAAGAAAATATTAAAAAATAAGTGTCAAGGAAATGTAAATATATCTAAAGGACTAAATCATTGCATGTAAAATTATCTACTTCTTCAAACCCACCCGTACGAGTAATACTCCTCTCCATTTAACAAAGAAAAATAGACATTGAAGTGCCCTAGAAAACCACCGATCTCATAATTTTTAAAATCATTATCATAAATATTTTTCTCTAACCACCTTTTACGACTTTTATATTCAATATTTTTTCATACAATATTTTAGAAAATATTAGTGGAAACTTTTCAAATAAAACTCTGCTTATACTTATATGTGTAACATATGTACTATATTTTACATTGATTTTAGTGTTTGATTCTTCTACGAAGTATCCGGAAGGTGTATTCTACGGTCATACAAGACACTTGGGAAATTTTGATGAGTGTTACAATTTGCAAGTACATATCGTGGAAGAGAGTGATAATGCTCATGAAATCAATGGCAAATATTGTTTAGTCAATATTGAATACAATAAGAAGCAAGTGACATCGATTCCTCAAAAATTATCAGTTTCAGGATACACGAATGATATTTTGAGTGAATTGAACATGAACAATTCCTTTTGGGAAGTGTTACAGGTATTCTATCATTCTACTTCACAACATATCGAACGAAACTAAATAGAACAAAGTTGTATTAAGATATTAATGTGTAATTATAAATTACGTACTTCAAGAATAATTACTATATATATACAAACCTTAACATATTTTGAAAGTATTAAATATATATTATAAGGAAGAAAACTCAATCTGTTCATGTCGAATTCGATCATCTCTATTCCTGCTTCTTTGCATCGCTACAATTTTCTCCACTTGCTTTCTCTCTACGTTTGCTGTTTAAACCATATTCAATATTTAAATTGAACGTCACTTGCTCGTCCATATTTGCTTGCTTATTGTCAGTTGTAATACAAATACTATTATATATTACTACATACATACTGCTTCGTACTACTACATACTATACACTATTACATACAATACTACTATATTTAAGATTACAGTGCTACATAACTATATGTACAAAATGTATAATTTTAATAGTCGAATTAAAATATCTACGTAACATCTGACAGAAAAATCTAATGTGATAATGTTTATATAACAATAGAAGAAATAAATGTAAGATTTCACTCTAGGTTTAAAGATCGATTCCACAAACATACAAAAATTAGTCCTGTGATCATATGCGAATTAAGTCCTCGACTAAAGAGGATAATATAACAAATCATGTTTAAGAACAAAATTAGATTTATTTTTAGTTGAAATAAAGAGCTTACGACATGTCTCACACTCAATTATGATTGACTTCTATTGTTTTTAAACTGCTTGTTACCTCTCTCAAGGCTCTCTCTGGCCAATCGATAATATCCTTCAAACCTATTCTAGAGAAAACGCGATTCCTGTATACATTTGATAAGAAAGATAAGAAAGATATCATATTCTACATAAAGTAATGTTTAAACAAAAGTTATAAGAACCCAATGTAGCCATGACTAATGATACTCTTTTTAACTTTTACTTTTATTCCAAATGGGAAACTGGTGTTTCAAATCGGAAATCAATTCCTTAAGTACAATATAATATATTTAGTTGCAGATGCGAATTAAAAAATCCCAACGATAACAAAAAACAATCTTTACTTAAATATTCGTCACATAAAATTTCTTTTCTGTTCCGTTTTGTTTAACATTTTACTTACTACAATTTATTTACGACACGTCGATTTAGAAACTAATTGATTATTTATTCATTTATTTAATATTTTTGTACTTAGCAATTGGAAGATAGCCGACATGTACGCAGAAATCGTTTACAACTGGCTTTATGTGTACCGGCGACCTGCAGTGCGGAAACTGTAGAAATAGCCTTGAGGGAACCATTAGAAAGACTTGGAGCGGGTAAAAATATTGAATTTCAGATAACTGTGCAACCTAATTCATGTTCCACAATTAAAGAAGCACCAAAATTTAATTTCGGTGCCGGAATTTACTGGTAAATTTTATTCACATCATAAATATGAAAAAAATATCATATATGTAACTTTAAATAATTTTTCAGTGTTGTACTTTTCGCTTTGCTGAGTTTGATAATAATCAGCACTTTGTACGACCGTGTGTCAAGCAGAGAAGGAAATAATATGTCTGTAATACGAAATATCATGTTACACTTTTCCGCTCGGAAAAATTATGAAACAATTTTCCACGTGAATTATACACATACAGGACTTGATTCTATATATTTTATACGTTTCATTACAATTAGCAGCTTTGTTTACACGCATAATGGAATGCAATATTTTTATGTTCCCACTATTAATACAATTGATTTAGAAGAGGTACATTAAACTATTGAACATATGTACACTAAAGTTAATATATATAGTATTTATGCATTAATAATATTTTCCTATATAATAATTACATAATATTTTATATCCTACATAATATTTTATATCTTTGTTTTCAGATGTACAAATTTCCTTTAATGGCAATACTAATAAATGGCACTTTCACAATAAATATAATGTTCGCTTTGAGTGGCGTTTTACTCACAACTCAGTTATTAAAAGACTTGGATCAACATAAACCACTTAAATTCGTTAAGAATGTTGTTTCGAGATATTTGAGGTATGTCCACACACACATATATGCACAGAGTATTATATTTTAAATACTCCAGTCATATGTCTTGAGAATTATACAATTTTTCAAGAACACTGCCTGAAAGTAAAGTTTCGAGGATATATTTCATCCATCGCAATAAAATCTTGTCAAGCTAATCATGTTTAAATGTTAGATGCACAGATTATTTCGGTGTTTCCCTTGAAAAAATTGAGCCTTTGTTAACCAAAAACTAAACATAACAATCTTCAAAATATTCGCTATATATTTTTTTTTATACTTTTCTCCATCCATCGGACAACTGACGAATCTCCTCTCGAAAAGACGGTGGCGACTTTAAGTCTATAAAATTATCGATGCATTTTTTAGTCTCTTCTATAGTTATAAGATGTGTGTCAGCCAAAATATCGTGCTGCAAAATACTTGTCGTGTCCCCTGGCCAGTAAATTGTTTTTCCTTTCTATTTCCAAATGAATTTTTTTTGGCAATACTCATCATAAATTGTTCGGCTAGATCGCAACAACTTATAATACAGAGTGTTTCAGGAGGAAAGGTACATATTTCAGGAAGTTATAGTATGGACGATTTTGAATAAAAATGTTCATATTAACATGTGTCCAATTTTCATTAGGTATGGAGTTACAGCCGCTTGACATTTGAAGTAGCCGCGCACAGTTACGATGCGCGCGCAAGTGTGAAACAGATGACGAGCACTCAGGAATATGCGTTCTAAACCAAATGGGACTCCAGTTGTAAGCTGTCTATGGATTCACGTTTTTCGCACAATGCCGCAGATCTTTATACATGAATATGCCGATATGGTATTTGTATACGGTTTTTGTAATGGAAGTGTTCGTCCTGCTTGAGAAGAGCATCGTAGACGGTTTCCTGACCGCAGAGGGGTACCGGATTCAAGAGTGTTTACACGTGCTTTCAATAAATTGCGTGAGACAGATGCAGTTCCCAGTCGATACATTTCTTCTGAGCGCGCAACGTGCATCCAGAGACAGCTTACAACTGAAGTCCCATTTGCTTTAGAACGCATATTCCTGAGTGCTCGTCATCTGTTCCACACTTGCGCGCGCATCGTAACTGTGTGCGGTTACTTCAAACATCAAATGGCTGTAATTCCACACCTATTGAAAATTGGATATATGTTAATATGAACTTTCTTACTCAAAATAGTCCATACTATAACCTCCTGAAATGTGTACCTTTTCTCTTGAAATACCCTGTATATCATTCATATCCTATTAAATGAAAAAAAAATTTATTTTGCGTGAACATTGGGTTTCGCATCGATGTCAATGTTTATCCAAGCTTTCCTAATCCAGGGTTTTCTTCTTTTAGGGTCGCCGTACACAATCTATTTCTTATCGTCAATAATGATTTTATATAAAAAGTCACTATGTAGTAACTTCGTTAACATGGACATCAAATCTCTTCTGCTTCTCTCCGAATTTAGTTCGTGCGCAATCCATCCGTCTAATTTTCTAATTTTTCTTAGCTTATATAGGGTAGGGGGTTATAAGTTTACAACCCGAAGTGTGAAGGTAGATTGGGTTAAAACAAACATAAAAGTCCCGTACCGTTTTGCTTGATTCGCAATAATTATCGAGATATTAATAAGAGAAATCTGAAGAGAGGGAGCATGCCGGCATAAATGATTGGAAAAGCGTTGCAGCTGCTTAGACCGCAGCGCGGCCCAGTCGATACAGCAACTGTTGCCGGTGTGCGGCGAGGAGAAAGACAATGCACCATTATTCGTTGTTTTATCTCGCCGGACCTACGTCTGTGGCTGTGGCCTGAGTAGCTGCAACGCTTCTCCAATCATCTATGTCAGCGCGCTCCCATTCCTCAAATTCCTATCATTAATAACTCGATAATTATTGCGAATCTCGCAAAACAGTATGGGACTTTTATGTTTGTCTTAACCCAATCTACCTTCACACTTCGGGTTGTAAACTTATAATTCCCACCCTGTATAAGTGAACGGAATCACTTTTTCTTCCGACAAATAATTAGCGAAATATCGTAAGTTAAATATTGAAAAAGTTATCAAGTTTTCCTCAGATATCTTAAAAACTATTAGACAAATGAAAAAATGTTTTAGATTGTTCGAAAGTTGTTCAAATTAACTAGTATAAAAAAACAGTGTAATAAAAAATAAGGGTTACCATTTAGAAAACGCAAGTTGACCTTCAAATGACCTTGAAAATAGAGATCAAGGTCAAAGTCAAAGTAATCATAAGATAGCTCACTTAAATCCCTACAACTTTTATTCAAATCATTTTCTTTGAAACTTCAATACTGAAGAGTTATTTGGGGTGGGACAATAAAATGAGATACCCTGTATCCATGGTAAGAAGACCTTCTTAAAATTAAATCAACTCTATCTGAAATATTTCATCGAATATTAAGTTATTTAGTAGATAATTACATGGCAAGATTAAAGTGCGACACTCTGTATATATAAGTTCACATAATATATGTAATGAATTACATATATTAGGTTAACACCGTTATATGCCACAATCATTGGTTTCTACATTTGGGTCCTTCCGCAATTGGGTTCCGGACCATTTTGGAACATAGTGGTTGAAGAAAGCGCTCATTGTGCGAAAAATTGGTGGTTAAATCTCTTGTATATCAACAATTACGTCGCAAATTCGGAATTGGTAATAAAATTATGTTTGTATCAATCCAAATAATATCCGAAAAAAATCAGTTAACGTTGACATGTAAATAACGTGTTTCAGTGTGTCATGCATGGCTGGTATTTAGCGGCAGACTTTCAACTTTTTGTCTGCAGTCAATTTGTGATATATGCATTTTGGCGTATGCCACGTAAAATAGGATATTCTTTTCTTGGAATATTAACATTAATGAGTTGCACCATACTCTTTTTTGCCACTTATGTATACGATGCACCATCCGTTGTGCGGTTCACCCCATCGTGAGTAATTACTTTTGTTGTTCTGTATACAATTCTATTTCTAATTGAGACATAATTAATCCGGGTTTAGTTGTTATCTGAAATTAACTTATTTAATTAGATAGAGAAACAAATGCGGGTGAGAGGCGTCAATCTTAATGAATTACTTATTTTATTATCATATATAGCGTAACTATGTTAGAAAACGTGGCAGAGTTTAAAATGTATTATATCAAAACGCATATGTGTGCCACTGGATACCTTGTCGGTATAATCGCTGGTGCAATACTTCACGATCACAAAGATAGTACGTGGCGCTTGTCTAAGGTATGTGAATATATGATATATTATATTTTTAGCTAACTTTTGTATCATTTTCATGAGTAAAAGAGAAAAACTGAGATACGAATTTAAAATTCATGTTAAAGTAAAATATTTTTTCACTAATAGCAATTTTCATAAGCAATTTTTTATTTTATAATATTCCCTTGTATTATTTTTATTCAAATATCGAGAACACTTGTACCAGTTTTAGATATAGATAACTTCACATATATATTAGTTTTTGTAAAGAAACAAATTTTTGTAATGTATTTTAATGTTTCTTATGTGGCATCAAAAATGTATCAATCAATTATCTTTTATCAAAGAAAAAGAAATTCAGAAGGCAACATTGGTTGCGGCTAGATTTTTATTAATAAACATAACTTAAGTAAGTATACGGACAATATTGGCCAGAGCTTTCCAATTTCAATTTTAATAAATAATATCGCCACATTAGCTAATTGGAGAATATGATATACCTATGTATCATGCACCATCATGTGTTTTCAGTTCTGGTCACATATCTTGGTTTACCCAATGCCTGTGGTTTTATATGTCACCACCCAATGTTGGGCGCATAAATTTCTTATATTGAGCAAGCCGAATGTGTTAGAAGAAGCAATTTTTGCATTTTTACAAAGACTTATTTCTGCCTTGTGCGTGTGCTATACGATAGTTTTATTATCCATCAGCAGTCAATCAGGTATGATAAGCATATTGTAAAATGTTTGAACTACTTTGAGTTATGATTTACTATTGTTTGCTATTGCTGAAAGGCTAAGAAGTGTAAGACAAGTTATTGTTTTTGAATATTGGTAAACACGGTATTAATTATTAAATAACTGTTATTGTAATTATAGATTCAGTCAATTGGGAAAATTTATTCTTTATTTTGTTAGAAACTTTAAAAATATAGTAATTTTAGTTAATATTCTCACTCAGACAATACAGTACAGGTTTATTTATCATATTTTAATCAATTTATAGTTTGATCGAATTTGAATTTTAACTAATTTATTCTATAATAAAAAAGTGTTAATTATATCTCAGTATTTATTATTTCAAAAGTTACTTTATTTCCAAAATTATTTCGAAATCCATTACCATATATCTTATCTTTGCTTCCACAGAATTTTACTATCGTTTCTTAACACCTCGTTGGACGCAGCCATTAGCAAATTTAACTTATGGAGTTTATCTGGTACATTATATATTAGTTATATTTGACGTAGGACAAGCAAGAAATGCAAGAACTTTCAGTCTTTTTAAATTAGTAAGTATATAAAAATATGATATATGCGATTTTTCTTATTATTTTTAGGAACATAATCAAGTATATCATGCGTTACTAATAGTTTGATTATTTATTAGATTTAATAATTTTTTGTATCCAGATACTGAATACCATACCACCGCTGCTATTATCTTATATAATTTCTTTACTTCTCACAATATGTATTGAAATGCCATTTAGGAATTTAACGAAATGGTATTTCTACGAAAAAAACCCCATTGCTATTAACAAAAGGTATTTTGGTATTAAGGAATGATAAACTTTTTGCATATGTGCAATTAATAAGACAGTTTCTTTTTTCTTCGTAGGATATCCGGGCATAAAGTAACAAAAGAAGAATAATTATGTTACGTCTAGATTCTGCCAAAATCAAAATGTACGTTATGCTAAAAATTTCAGCATAGTGTAACAAATAACTTTATAATCTTTTTGACCTACTAATTCCAGTTTTCAAAATAAAACATTTAACTGATGTTTTAGGCCCGATGGAGGAGATTTAGAAAAAACGGAAGAAACAAAAATTTTTATTTCTTTAAATTATGTAATAAAAGTATTTAATGTATAAAAAATATTAAATATGTAAGATTATGTAATAAAAAGAATAGAAATTTTCATTTAACAAATTTGTCTTGGACCTCTTATAGGATTCAAATTGAGTACCAAGTATAAAATCTACATAACTTTTGTAACAAACCCCTTAAGGAATTACATATACTTAGCAGAGTAAAAAAATCGATTTTTTTTACATTTTCTTAAAGATTCAAATTTCGAGAATATATCCTGACAATTTCATGTCGATATCTGCAAAAATAGCGAAGTTACCTGACGCGTCTAGTAAAGCGCTCACGAATATGGCATTCTTCTAGGTGTGCATATTTCTGGAGGCACTGGTTTCGGGTCTCTATTGTTCGATGTTCCCCTCTGCGTATGTGGAGAAAGAGAAAACTGTTCAAATTAACTGGAAAGCTCATGGATGAACTTACAGTATATTATGGTTTCACTATCAGACAGAATTGCGATTCTATAATAAAAATGAAGGATGCAATATGGGCTACACTACATCACAAATCGTCAACAAATGAAGAGCCCCATCATGAAAATTGCCCTCCAAGATCAGACTCGTAGTGCTCGTGGCAGCGAGCAAAAGCCGAAGGAACTTTAGAGCAATATCAACATAAACCGCCGATGAATGTGATTAAAGTCGTTCGTTCAATATATGAATAAATTTCGAGTGACAATTTACTGGATAGATGCGTCGGTAGATTTACGCGAAACATATATGAAAGCATAAATAATCTGATTTAGCGCATAACGCCAAAAGTGCAGCACAGCGGTGCACACGTTGTGCAAATTGCTTCGAATATTGCTGCATGCACTTTTAATGAAGGTGCTGTCACATATTTATTAATAATGCATGCATTAGAAATCAATATTGATCACAATTGTACCGCATATTGTGAATATTAAGACTGAGCGTGCATCGATGTGGCTGAAGTGCGAGCACAGGAAGCGACGCGCGAAGGAAGAATTGCTCATCGTCAACAGACGTCTTCGTGTAACAATGCTGCTATTGGTGTGGAAAATACTTCATATGGCCCCGGAATTGCCAACTAGAGGTAAATTACAAAATTCTGCTGTTAACAATAGTTGAACTGAACTTTAAACTTTAAACGCGTTTTTCTCGAAATATGGTTTTCAAAGACGACACCTCAAACGGTGAATATCTCAAAAATCAATCGATGGATCGTTCTTAAATTTTTACACAATACTCTCAGATACTTTCTTTTGTCGTTGACTATCTCACTTTTTTCATCGATCTTCATTAAAAAAAGAAATAACATCAGAAAACGAAAATTTTTCGCAATTTTCGAAATCTCAATTTCTACTCGTCGCCATTTTGTGGCAAACGACAAAATAAAAAATCGGCGAACGTCAACGATAAACCACTACTGTTAACTTAAAAACATCATATGGTTCTTTTGTTTCAGATAGATTGTTTAGGCGGGAAAGTGTCCATCGCAAAACACGTTTTTCTCAACTTCGATGTGTGCCGGTGCCCATATTTTTTTTCTGTCGCAACTTTTTAATGATATATATATATTTTTTTCATATTTCCAAAACATAAGTCTATAATCACACAAAATTTTATGTAATTTCCACTATCCGTTTAGCAGGAATAAAATGTCAAAATTTGACCTGTTTTTCAGCCTTCTAAGGCCTAGTTCCACAACTTGCTTTAAACGGAGTTTAAAGCAAGTTGTGGAACTGGGCCTAAGTGTATGTCATCCCTTAAAACCCTATAACTCTTATATTTTACATTTTTCATCATGACAACTTCCTACATAGTTATGAAGGATGATAAATTACAATTGGACCCTGTATATTCAATATCATATATATGATAGTTTTCATAGAAAAATGATATTCATCAAGAAATTTTTTATACGTAAATATTATTTACCACGTACGTCGTGCTGTAGTGGATTCTCCACATATGTGGTATCATGGCAAACTTTTCACCGCACAGTGAATCAAATAAAAATCTACTGGATTTTCAAAATGTCCTGATCTTTCTCCGACATACTTGATTTTATACCACGCTTATTTGAATAATTCTTTGAATCTCAAAAAAGGCAATTAGTTGTGTATAAGAGATTGCAATTTTATAATATGATTTCGTAAAAGTGTAAATTAATATCAAAATTATAGTAATATCTAATCTGCAAAAAATTCTAATGACATTTTTACAAATACGGAAACTGAAAACATTTAATGGTTTTAATGAAAACTGTTGCTCCTTTAAATATCATAAATATTATTATTTCTTTACTAGTCGAGATAAGTTGTTCAAAAGTCGAAGGACAATGACCACGCTAAAAGTATTATGTACTTTGAAAGTCCAATAAATCATAATAATATGATTACTCGAATCATTAAAGCACTCGAATATATTTTATTGGAAATTGCATATCCTCCTTTGGTTGGTAACTTCGAACCCAAGCAGCGCAAACGGTCAACACCATCGAATATATTGACCATGGACATACCATGGTAAGCTGCTTTTAGCAGAAAAAGCTACTTACTAAGAGCTTAGTCATTATCGTTCCTCATTAATTCTTTTTCTTGAATCCGTCAAAGACCTAAAAGAATACTCCAATCATAGATACGAGGACTATGCCGAAAGCTTTTAGATACTCAAAATCAGGAAGTCTTACGACAATGAAACCCAATGCATTTGAAAGAACATCTTCTCTACTGAATAATAGGTTAGTATGGGAAACTTACAAGGGAACGGTTAGAGGTGTCCGTCACCGATTTGGATGGGCTTTGGATATGTTATAAAGCATCAAAAAATATTAGACTCATATTTTTTTATGTGCTTATCTCGAGGTTTAGAGATGAAATCACCCCTCGAAGAAAAAGGAGGTTTTCATTTTTAGCGAATACATCGAAAAATACGAGGCATATGAAAAAATGGTTTATATAAAAGTTGTAGAGAATTTTATATTCTTTGCAACTGTGTACTCAAATTTTGCAAAATTGCAAAATTTTGTTTACCCTCTCCTCTGTCCTCATTATTATCCTCGCAAATTTTTAAATTCTTATTAGAAATAAAATAAAGAGTATCAAATATCAAATTCATTCATGTATAACAATAGAAAATGGAAGCCATTAATTTGATTAATATAGAGATGATAACATGGAGTTATAAACGCTGCGCTATAGGTAGGCGCTTCTTACTTACGCTGTACTCGACATCTCTGTATTTTCTTTTGTATAAGCTGATAAAAACTCCTAATGATATATACAACGTATTAAATATCATGAACGTGAGTTTGTATACAGTTATTTCGTATCCAATAAAATAAGTACGAAATCAGTGGATAAATTCAAGAGTGGCTTAAAAGTCAAGACATGTCTATGAATTCTGTCCATAAATAGAATTGGTACAGCTTCCCTGAGCGATATACGTTATCGTGCACTTTGGTTACTGACGCACATCATTTGATACTGGTCGACCTCACTCTTTACACTTTGAAGGATTTACGTTTAAAACGCACTCGGCCTTGCGCTGCGACCGTGGTGCATGATAACACTATGATCTTATCTACAAGCAAATAAAAACTTAATTCTAATGATACACGTATCGTTTTATATACTATATAAATGTAAACAGATACGACTTTGCATATATAGCAACAGTGTCCTGTATGTACGGCTTCGCTGTTTATCGATGATTTCGCAACGTACGGGTTTCCTAAAGTACACATATGTTATATATAAGTAATTAGATTTGTTTAACGATACAATATGTATAAACGAGTAACAAACGACGTAAAGACGTCTAAAGGAACTGTAATATCTCACAAGTCAGTTTTGGACATTGTACTGTCTGGGTAGTAAATACATATTATAATTATTCTACATATTCATCACAAATATGGTGTTCATGAAAGAAATGTGTCATACAGAGCGATTTTTTACACCAAGTACAAATAATTATAGCAGTTTGGTCACAAATTTCACATTTTACTTTTGAATCGGTTTGGAAACAAAATTCGAATGGCGTTTGAAATTTTGTTGGTTTATTCTACATGTACATGGTTTATTCTACATGTACATATCCACTTTTAAACCACACATATTTAAATAAATTTTGAATTCTGGGTGATGAAAATTGGTGGTGCGTTAATGATGGTTGCAATTTTAATATATTATCTCTAATATGGAGACCAGTGCCAAATCTAACAACAGAACAACGTCAGGAAAATGTTTAATAAAATTTTTCCATAATCTAAAGCAGTATACATCTAGTGGTTATATTTTTTCCGTTGTACCAGCTGGAATGGTTAGGAAGACGATATGTGTTGCAGAATCTTGTCTAGTATCTGCAATTATATTAGGGCAATATCTACTCCATGAATCTCCATGAATAACAATACAGACTATGACCCAATATTCGGAAAAAATGTTTCTTTTAACACGTTTTTACATGATATGATGTTAGTTTGCCCGATAGTGAAGCCATAACAAAAAATATTAGGTGCTCTGAACATTTTTTCTTGGACTCTCGGACCAAATGTTCCTTTTATTTTTTTTTAATACTATAAAAAGCGACAATAATCTACCATCTGCGGAAATAGTCGGCTGAATAGTGTAACTATATGTGATTGTTGACATAAATTGTACAACAGATTCTACTCTTTTTACATCTTTATGTGCTAAAGTACGACCGGAATGAAATTCTAACTCAAATTCACTTTGATCAGAATTGTAAATATTTTCTATTCCACATACCGACCAATATAATATTTAACATTTTCAATAAATGTATCGCATTTCTTTTCTAAATCTTCTTTTGATAGCAG